TAGTTCAAGCTCACCAGCACACTTTTTGGCTGACTTTAGCACCATGACACTTGGAGTCCTGGTGTGGCGCAGTGGGTTAATGCACAGGACTGTAATGTCAGGCTGAACCACAAGGGCGGTAGTTCAAGCTCAACAGCACACTTTTTGGCTGACTTTAGCACCATGACACTTGGAGTCCTGGTGTGGCGCAGTGGGTTAATGCACAGGACTGTAATGTCAGTCTGAGCCACAAGGGCGGTAGTTCAAGCTCACCAGCCGCTCCTCGGAAACCCTGTACGGCACTGCTATGGGCTGGAACTGACTTGATGGCACATAACAACAACAACAACAACAACACTTTGTGTGGCATTGTAGGCTTCGCACTAGACTGCAAACCACAAGGTCAGCAGTTCAAACCCATCAGCTACACTTTGCAAAGGAGCTCTGATGGCACTATAGGGGTTAAGTGTTGGCCTGCTAACTGCAAAGTTGGTGGTTCGAACCCACCAGCCGCTCTGAGGTAAAAGATGAGGCTGTCTGTTCCTGTAAAATTTTACAGTCTCAGAAACCCTATGGCACAGGGTCAGTGTGACTTGGAATCGACTCAGTGGCAGTGGGTCTCCTTTATAAATGGTTCAGTTTCCAGGGCTATGGGGTAGGCACAGAATCCGAGATCACGAAGCACTCTGACATGACAGATGAGACACTGGCCCATGGCACAGCATACGGTTGGTTCATCCTCTACCTATCGCATGCTGCTCCTCAGAAATGCTTCAGCAGGGTCGCTATGAGTTGGAACGGCACTTAACAGCCACTGTATACTGCAGGTGTCCGTCCTCCATGGGTTAGAAACTCACAAACCCACCCCTGGTCTTTCCTACTCTGGCCACGGCCCCCCTCTGGGGGTAGTGTTGTCCCTGAACATGGGTGCTCGTCTTCTATATGAACACAGAGCATGGCCTCTACTGTCACCCGTGAGAAAGGGGTACTCTATGCACCCTGTAATGAGCCCCGAGTCTGAGGCTTAACAGCTCCCCGCACTTTGTTACTGGGGCCAACCAGTATGCCAAGTTCCATGTGTTAACGTACCCGCTGAACGGAAACCGCCTTCAAGGCCCGAGCCAAAGCATGAGAGGCAGGCTGGGAACTTACTTCAAAAACTGTTTAGGTGACAGTTCACCTAAAGTCACGATGGGACGCTTTGATCTAACTATGAAGCACTTTACAACAGTCTTCCTCTCAAGAGACTGTACCCACCAAATGGCATGTTCATACAGAGGACAGAGTAAAGAAATGGCCAACCCTATCCCAGCTGGGGTCACAGCTCTGCTGGGGTCACAGGAATATCTGATCAGAGTATGTGTGCATGGCCAGGAAGCTGGACAGGGATGGAAAGAACAATCGCCACTGAGCTCCTCCTGAGGTGGGGGTGGAGGGTCAGCAGACACAGGTGCACCCCCACGTGGTGCCAAAAGCTGGATAACCTTCCTTCCTGCTGCCCGTCGTGACAGAGGACTGGAACCTGGAGTCCACTACAGCGTCACCGATCCTCTCAGCATGGGCAGATCTCGAAAGCGGGAGCGCTGGATGAGGCCATTTCCTGACACCAAAGCCCCACAGCAAGCACGTCCCTAATGCCCTTCCTAATGAAGGAATTCCATCACCACATGGGAGAAATTCAAGGAAAAAGGTGCCATACCACCCCAGATTGGGACCCCAAGGCAGGGGAGAGGGTGTCGGTTCTGGCTCACAGCGGCCCTATATAGGGTTTCTGAGGAGCACCTGGTGGGTGCCCAGACTGTCAACTGGGTTCAGGATGGAGCAGGAAGGAGAACAGACTGCAGCCTGTCTGAACGTCATGACCTGGGACACGTGCAAGGTGGAACAACGTGCATCATTAAGCAAACCAAAGACTGTAGCCTCAAGAGAAAACAAAATGTGGGCAACAACGGAAGGGTGGTAAACACACAGCAAGAGGCCGTGCTGAGTCATCCCAATGCCAAGCCCAAACCATGACTTGATCAGAGCTGGGCACCACGGGAGCAGGCGCAGCTACACCTGGCAGAAACGGAGCCCAGATCAGCACACAGGCCAAGGCTCGTCCTTTGCTAACAGGGGTGACGAATCCAGAACAATGGAGACAGTGCAGAGATGAGCAGGAACCCTTTAAAACAGTCATGCCACAAAAACGGATGTGGTACCTCGCTCCTCAGGGAAGAGAGGCCTAACAAAGAGTCTTCGTTCTAAGTCGGTAAGACTCCTCAGTCTAACAGGCCTGCCAAAGGCTGAAGGAATCTTTCTGTGCTAGTTTCTATCTGAAAGAATTTAAAGAGGAAACCTTTAATCGAAAAAAGATGTGAAGCGATCCCAATTTCAAAGTGAATTTGAAAAAGCTACAAATAACAAAACCATTTATAATTTGGACACCTGCTTTCTGATACAGACTGGACAACTTCTTCAGTAACTGTTGTTGAGACAACATGTAGACCCCCAACTCATAGTGACGTTAAGCACAACAGAACGCGACACTGCTCGGTCCTACATCATCCTCATAACCGTTCCTATATTTGAACCCATTGTTGTAGCCACTGTGTCAAATCCATCTCATAGAGGGCCTGCCATCCTCTTTATTGCTGACCCTCTACCTTCCCCAGGATGATGTCCATCTCTATGGACTGGTCCTACCTGAAAACATGCCCAGAGTACATACGATGAAGTCTCGCCATCCTCTCTTCCAAGGACCTTTCGGGCTGTACTTCCTGTAAGATGTGCTCATTCTCCGGGCATTCCAGGGTACAATTCACCACCGAAGTTGAAAAGCAGGAATTCTTCTTTTGCTTTTCCTTATTCATTGTCCAACTTTCACATGCACAGAAGATCATCGAAAATACCGTATCTTGGGTCAGGAACAGGTGAGTCTTCAAAGTGTCATCGTGGCATTGTTTAACACTTTAAAGAAAACTCTTTTGCAACAGATTTGCCCAACATCATACAGCCTTGGATTTCTTAACTGCTGCTTCCCTGGGCATTGATTTTGAACCTAAGTAAAATGAAATCCTCGACAACTTCAATCTTTTCTCTGTTAATCATGATACTGGTTCATTGGTCCAGTTGTGAGGATTTTTGTTTTATGTGAGCTATAATCTATACTAAAGTCTGTAGTCTTTGACTGATCTTTTATCAACAAGTGCTTCAAGTCCTCTTCATTTTCAGTAAGCAGTGTTGACATCTGCATATTACAGGTTGTATATGAGTCTTCCTTCAATCCCGACGCCCCATTGTTCTTTATATAGCTGAGCATCTCAGATTATGTGCTCAGCAGATACACTGACTATGGTGAAAGGAGACCATGCCTGATGCAAACCTTTCCTGGTTTAAAATCACACAGTATGCTTTTGTTCTGTCTGAACGACAGGTTCCACATGAAGTGTTTCAGAATTCCTATTTTTTGTAACGTTGTC